TGGGGTCCCTCGGCTCGTGGTGAGATTCCTCCTGGTCCTGGGGTCCCTCGGCTCGTGGTGAGGCCCCTCCTGGTCCTGGGGTCCCTCGGCTCGTGCTGAGGCCCCTCCTGGTCCTGGGGTCCCTGCACTCGCGGTGAGGCACATTTCTGTTCTGGGGTCCCTCGGCTCATGGTGAGATGCCCTTTCTTATTCGGGGATTCCTCAGCTTATGGTGAGGTGCTCCTTCTCATTCTGGGGGTCCCTGCACTCATGGTGAGGCACCCCCTCCTGGTCCCAGGGTCCCTCAGCATGCTCATGATGAGATGTCCTTCTCATCTGCTCACGACGACTGTGGTCATTCCCAAAGCGGGCTTCCACACACCCAGTTCAGTCCAGAGATCCTGGAATGACTGGAAAAACACAATGTTTGAAAAACACAAATCAGACAAGAGACAGGCCTGCTTCCTAAGGCTGGGGCCTCCTGGCAGCCGCCACCTTTTGTCCGTTGCAAACTCTCGCCATTGGAAAAAAACAGTGGGGGCGGGGGGCCTGAAAAAAGCCCCTACCCTGCCAATAAGGAGACAGATATGCTCATAGCAGGCCTTTATTTTACTTCAGGCTGCTGGGTTCTAACGGGAATGTCGTAAAGGATGCGGTGGTCCACGGGAAAGAGACATAGTCATAAACGTAGTTGTAAAAATCAACACGAGCCACAGTATCCATGGAGTTAGACACGCCTACATCCATACCTGGAAACTGGAATCTTCCTAGATCGCGTTTTCGCGGACACAGCCTTTTCAAGCACCGCCTAGCCTGGGGTGCTCTATAGTCCTTCTGGAAATGGGGTTACCTTCCTTTCCCCAGTGGGAGAATCACCCTCCTCTCTGTGCCCTCAAGCTGCATCCACCTTCCAGCCAGTTACTTGGCACCTAGCCCCTCGGTGCTCGACATGCCCTGAGGACCCACGAGACCTCTGACACCGTGGAATCTGACATTCATGTGGTAACAGGGTCTTAGCGTGACATGCCCTGAGGACCCACG